ATGGTATAAATCAATATTCCTTCCACATAATCTGACCTAAGCAGTCAATTCTTGAGTTAGAAAACTGAGTAAATATCTCATCAAAATAATATTTTTAAAATCTACAATTACCATGTTATCTTTCTGTGAATGTCATATATCTATTTTCTCCAATTAATAGGAAGATTGAGCCTATAAGACTCAGGAAGTTCAGAAATTTTAAAAAATGCAAAAGTTCCCAAGATTATATAAACAATGATCAGTTGCTAGGGAAGAGGAGACTGTAGTGAAGCTGCCAGCAAGCTGGGCAAGGTCCTCCAGCAACGAAACTTTCACAGGTCATCATTCATGCTAGTGTGAACTATAAAGGTCTGTCAATGTCTTTGACTTCCACACTTCTGTAAATGATCTCTTACCTATGCTCCTACAAGTATCCCCGACAACCTCACTGGTTTGACAAGCTAGGTGTCTGTGGAATCATTTGTTTGGACTGTCATTTGCATCCTATATGGAATGAATTGACATTTGTTCATGTCTCCCCAGGAACAGTCAACTTGAAACTAGTGGCATTATCTAACTGGGACCTTTAGAACATAACTGCTATGTCTGAGCTTCTGCCATTGATGGAGATCAGCATAAACATCATCTCAATAACAAGATAGAGACAGAATTAGTTCATGAAATGAATAAACTATTAAATCAATAGGTTTTTTCTTAAAAGTCTTTTTTTTTTCATTTCTTCATGTCTAATTTCCCCTAGTTTCTCCTGTACTTTTAAAAACAAGTACACAGACCATCTCATTTAAGGACCTATCCAGGAAAATGAAGTGACAAGAAGTGTGTTTTTGTAAATGACTCTAGCCCTATGTCTATATTTCTTTTATTCTGTGCCCTTTTATGTATTATATTTGATTACTTTCATGACCCTGTACCATGATGGAGGACAGGGTTATCTTTTTTTGTCCCCTTTGCTTTGATTTGCAAAGCATAGTTCTTCTCACAGTAGGCACACAGGGGCAATAAGCCGCAAGTAGCTCAGCATAAACTCTTCTTTAAATAATTAATCTTAAAAATATAACTGGAAAAACTAAAGTTCATTAAGACAAGCTGCTGAATATCAGTTTACTGTCAACACTGCCCAGCCTCATGCATAGGTTCTAAAGTGTGCCCAGGCCCATTCATGGATTCTGGGGTGTGCCCAAGCCCGTGCATGGGTTCTAGAGAGTGCCCAGGTCCATGCTTGGATTCTGGAGTGTGCCTAAGACCATGCATGGGTTCTATGAGTAATACAGGGAAGAAAATGATCATACCTCTTATATCTTTTGTTCAAAGTAGTTGGAGAAACCCAGTGTATATAAATGAAACTAGAGGGCTGTACATAACCAGATGAGTGACTTTTTTAATTGCATCATCATCATTTATATTACAGGAGGAGAGTCCTTCTTTAGCTCTTAATTGTATACAATGATTCCAAACTTTAACAGAAGGAAATAAACAGTTTGACTGACAATAGTCAGTGGAAACTTGTGGCTGGAAAGAATTTCAAAGCACTGTTCTTTTGAAGAGTAGAATTGTCAAGATCTATCTCAGACCATGGAAGAAAACCTCTCATCATGTAGACCTTCTAAACAGAGAATGGAGATAAACAAATCAACATAATTGATGCTTCAGTGAAACTGGAAGCTATTTGAGCGAGGTTTGATGCTAAGGTCACTATTCAATTTACTGGCTTTGCATTTGGTAGGAACAGTTTGAACCACCTAGGAAAGGTGCCAATCTATAATGCATTTATGACTTAATACTTTCTCTAATCCTCCCTTCTGAGATCCAGTAACATTTATCTCTTGAACTTGACTATTCTCTAAAATGTGCTCTGTCTGAACCAAAAGTTCAGAAACCCCTTTATTTATTTACTTTTGAAATATTGTCAAGATTTTTTTGTTTATTTATTTATATATGTATTTTCAAAATAAAAGTATGTGAATATACAGTCATTTGCTTATTGTGGCATCTAGCCACTAATGCTGTTTCATATAGTTTTAAAGATATGAAATGATAGAAAGCCTAAAATATTTTAATGTGTAAGAGCATACTTAAGCAGTGAGCACTTATTTTCAAAATCTACTGTGATTTAACTTTTATTCTGAACCTGTCGGACATGACTGCTCATAACAGCCAATGCTTACCCTTGTTAAAAGAAGAGGGCTGCATTCTGATTGACTCCCTCTGCCTGACCACTCTAACCATGCTACTATTAAACATCACCTAGAAATGCATTTTTACTAAATTAAAGTATGCTCAATTTTTAGTCATCATAGTGACTCAAATTCAGAGAAAATCTAAGAAAACTGTGAATGCAACAGGCCCAGAGATGCATATGTTCATACTAAAGAGGGTTACTTCTATTTTAAGACGTTCTGTACCATGTTCTAGAAATCTCCTGTTTTGTATTAGGAGGGGACATTTTGCTGTTGTTTTCCTTTTTCTTCTTAATAATGAGCAAGGCTTTGGTGCCTTTGTTATAAAATGTGTACAAAGCATAGTCTGTAGACCACTCCTGGCACTGAAACACAAAACTCTTAAGTAATTGTGATGGGTGATGGTGCTCTGCATGCTGTGAATGTGTGTTGCTCTCATTGGTTGATAAATAAAATGCTGATTGGCCAGTAGCCAGACAGGAAGTATAGGTGGGATAAACAGACAAAGAAAATTCTGGGAAGAGGAAGTCTAAGTCAGGAGTTGCCAACCAGACACAGAAGAAGCAAGATATGAAGCCAGAACTGAGAAAAGGTACCAAGCCGTGTGACTAAACATTAAGTAAGAATTATGGGTTAATTTAAGTATAAGAGTGTAGTGGGTAGCCATTCCAGCTTGGATCTGGAAGTTCCAACCCCCATTGAGACTCTGGCAACTGTCACGCCTACGAGGCGGGGCCAGAGGAGGCGCCTGGGGACCCAAGAGCTGGATGGGCCAGCGCTCTCTCTGTGTGCTTGCTCGGTGCCAGGATGCTGAACGGTGAAGGTGGACTGTGCAGAGCTCCGGAGAACACCGCTGGACTGCGTTACACCTTCCCCAGACCCTGCGACCTACCCATTACTTAATTTGTGAGTTACGCCATTAAATAAATATCCTTTTAACTATGTGGAGTGGCCAAAATAATTTCTCCAATATAAGAGCTAGTCAATAATAAGCCTGAGCTAATGGTGGAGCAGTTTTAATTAATATAAGCATCTGTGTGTTTACTTGGGTCCTAGTGGCTGCAGGAATGGCGGGTGAGAGAGATTTGTTCCAACCGCCTGCCAGCCGGGTCACAGAAAGTATCTGCAGATCTGTTAGTTTGTGAGGAGTTGGTAGACTTGCTATGACATCACTACAGGCATTTGTGGTTACCTTCTGCACTCCTCTGTCTGATATGGAGCTACTATGTTATCAACAATGATACCCTAGTACAATATGTTTTTAGTGCTATATAGTAAATAATTTTCCTATAAAATCTTACTCTTACGAATAAAGATTTTTGAAATGCTGACAATTTCATGTGTTTCTAGCTAATAATGTTCATACATTTTAAGCAGATGGTCATTAAAAACATTTTTTTCTTTTTCTCCCCCTCCCCCTACTCCTCCCAGTTCCTCCCCCATCTCCCTCCCCTCAGTCCAGATCTTTGTCTGCTGTGGATATCACTCTATATAAATAAAATACTGATGGCCAGTGACCAGGCAGGAAGTATAGGCGGGACAAAGAGAGAGGAGAATTGGGGAAACAGGAAGAGCAGCCACCGCCAGGACAAGCAGCATGTAAATACGCTGGTAAGCCACCAGCCACGTGGCAAGGTATAGATTTATAAAAATGGGTTAATTTAAGATAAAAGAACAGTTAGCAAGAAGCCTGCCATGGCCATACAGTTTATAAGTATTATAAGCGTCTGAGTGATTATTTTATATGTGGATTGTGGGACTGTGGGGTTTGGTGGAACCTGGAGAGAAGCCCTCCAGCAACATTTGTCTCTCGTTAGAAAAGAACAGCCTTCTAAGAGATGACAACAAAACATAACAAAATAAAATAAGATAAAACAAATGTCACCACATCAAAGGTGAACACTGTTTTCAAAAATAAACAATCAGCAGACAACACCGCTTTAAGTAACTCACTATCAGAACCAATTAAGAGAGTCTCGCAAGTCATAGAAACCATACAGTCAAATAGTCATTTTAAAACTTATCAGTAAAATACCTGAAATCGAGTACTCACCACAAAATCAACAACCTATTTTAAAAAGCTATCTATGAATATGTTCATGGGGTTTTATCTTTTGTAGAATTTTATTTTTTACATTTTTTTGAGAAGTTTATACTGTGTTATACTGCATTAGTGCTGTGCATCATTTTCAGGCCTCCTTCTCCCACTTCTACTTTGTCCCTCCACTCAAATTCATGACCTCTTCTTTATCATTATATGTGGTGTGTGTGTGTGTGTGTGTGTGTGTGTGTGTGTGTGTGTGTGTGTGTGTGTGTAACTTGCTAAGTCTATTTAGTATTGTTCATACATAAGTGTGTTTAGGACTGACTACTTCAGAATGGACAATCTATCAGGTTACTCATTCTTGGACAAAACTAATTCTTCCAATCTCAGAAATCATTAATTGCCTATGGCTCTTCCTATAGGGGTAAAGCCTAGTAGGGCAGCTTTCATCCACATTAGTACTTCAACTGGTATTTTCCTTATGTGTGTCTTAAGGAAAGGCGTATTTTGGCTGTTTCATGGGTGCAGCCTCCCAGTCATACACCGTCTCACTGGTTCTACATCTCTTACAATCTCTTTCCATCTCCTCTTCCCTGATGTTCCCTGAGCCTTAGGTATGGTGGCTACACTACAGATGTATCAGCTGGGGGTTGGTATTCCATGATCAGCTGTTCTTTGCATTTTGACTGGCTGTAGATTTCTGTAGTAGTCTCCACCAGAGGCAAAAAGAAGTTTTGTTGTTTGTTTGTTTTTTTATGAGAGGTCAGAACTATACTTACCTTTAAGTATAAAGATAACTATTCAGAATGTAGTCAGAAAGAAATCACACTGGTTGAGGAAACCGGCAGTAGAAGGTCCTCGTCTAGAGTTCGTGACCTCAGCAGGCACGGCAGTTGGCTCGGTTTACAGTATGAATTCTATCACACCAGGAAGGGTCTTATGAAAGTCCACGACGTTTCATCTTTGCAGACGTCTTTCCGGGCTGGTGGTCATCGTTACAGTTTGTAAGCCTTACAGCTGGACGGACAGGACTAGTGGTTGCTTTCCTCTCTTGGCAACTTGCATAGGATCGTCAGACTATGAGGTTTGTTCCCAAAGAAGAGGCTTTCAGGTCAGTCCAGCCCAATCCCTCCACATCCTGGTCCTAAGTATGTGGTCTCTGCAGCAACAAGGTGTTACCTTCAAGTTCTAGAAGGCAACCAAGGGCGATAGCAACAGCCTACAGTGCTTTGGGAGTCTCTTGGGTTACCCTAGCCAACAACCCAAAGGTCAGGAATGTCTCTTTGGGAAACATTATCAGACAATTAGCATCTTTTAACTTGTGTGTTTATTTTAAGAAAGTTCATTAAATAATGTTTCCCTAGAGCTTTGGGGAAATGTTGTTAATGTCCCTTGTCCCCACCCTCGCTCCGTATCTCTTTGCTGTCCTCCCTCCTCGCTCCACAGCTAATGCCTGTTTTCCCATTCTGCCCTTCATAGTACCTGTCCTACTTCCTGCCTCTCTTTCCAGAGCCCCTTCTCTCCCCCGCCATGGTCACTTTATACTTCGCTGTTTTCTGTGGTTGTTCTGGTTTTTGTACTCGCATGTAAAGGTTTAGAGATGGGGTGAAAATGTTGCATTTGTCTTTATGGGTCTGGGTTATCTCACTCAGGTATGATACTTTCTAGGTCTAGCTATTTACGTAAAATTTTTATGATTTCGTTTTTCTTTTCAACTGAATAGAATTTCATTGTATTTACGTGCCACATTTTCATTATCCATTCATTCTTGGAAGGACATTTATTTTGTTTCAATTTCCTACCTATTGTAAATGGAGCTGGAATGAACACAGTAGAGCAAGCATCTGTGGAGTAGAATGTCCAGTCCTTTGAGCATACATTAAGGATCTCTACCATATGATCCAGCTGTACCACAGTTGAAAATGTTCCTTAAAACCCATCTGTGAATGCCCACCTTCAAACCAGTTCAGAATCTCTCAGGGAGAACAGAGGAAATAAAGCCCAGCGAACTCATCATATTAATTGTCTCAGTGCCCTACAGCTCTGGTCAGCCCTCTTCTCCCCAGTGGTTATTCCTCCTACCAGTGTATTTTTAGAATTTCTAAAGTATTTCTATTAGGTGGGAGAAGAGGGAGAGTAAGCATATATCATCTTGTCTGACAAATATTTTGCTTAGTAAATAAATTTTAGAAGTTATAACCAACACAACTTCAGTTTGTGTTATTATCCAGAACTTGATGAACTTGATGATGCTCTTTCAGTCTCACTCTGGAGTGCCACACGACGACCTTTAACTGCTTACTATCCCATGCTCTCTCAGTGTGGTTATCTATACTTAATCCAGTTATTCAGAGGCGACATTTTGGTATGTGACATAATTGCATAAACATAACACTTTCATGTGACCAGGTATTAATTCAATGTTCAGTCTTTAAATGTTCGTGTAGAAATGAAAATATTTTACAGGAAGCTTTGGGTTTGTCTATACAAAGAAATAAAACTGAAAAATGAGTAATCCAGAAGAGGTATTTGAAGAAGAGGCTATCGGCTTGATTTTTAAATGATGCCCCTTCTGCAGAGCAGAGAGAGTCTCTGATTTGTTGTTCTATCTAATACACTAGGCTTACATAGTAACGAGCTGGAAGATAAAATCTGGTTTTGATACAGTAAAAGTTTTCAAGAATAATGTTACAATCAAGAATCTCCATGAGATCTTTGTATACTGTGCTATATATCATTGATTAATACTGCCATTGGAGGCAATACTAATGACAATCATAATTTATTTTATACTTCAGATGGGTATGCTATCATCCCATTATAAAAAAGCATTATCATTTTCTTCAGCAATCTTATTTGGCCACAGACTAAAAGCCATACCTACTTGGCATAGCACATGTAGAAGAAAGCCCGGGAATCATTTTATACTCTATCAAAAAAGAGGAAATAACCCATAAGGATAAACTTTATGTATAATTTTTACATCATATTATATTATACAGAATTAATTTTCTCATGAATGAAAATAAGATTTCTCATATATCCTTTACACAGCTGACTCCTTATCCATCCAGTTTAGTGTATATTAAGTCATGACATTTTATTGCTCCTAAACTATAGCTTCATGAGATGGAAGAGTAGAGTATTATTTTACTCCTTTGACTTCATAATAAGGAAAACTTAATAATACAGCCATTGGCAAGTCCTATGTCATCAGGTAGATTAAATTTTCCATTGGAGGAATGGCCATTTCTGGACTTCATAAGAACTCAAAAAGCACGATATAAGAATATCAATGAATGTAGTGTTCTCTCTTTTTACTTTGTTATTTTAACTCACATAAAGAATAAGTATATGTAGCAAATGAGGTCACCAATGACCCCAACACCCACTTCTTAAAGTTTTCATATGTAGCTGCCAAATATTTCTCTTCTTCACCACTAAGTATGAGAATAAAGAGATGTAATACTTGACTATGCAAAGGTGGGATGAATGAAAATTGGTTCGTTAGAATGCTGTATTTAAATATGCAATTTTGAGTATAAATTTTGCCTACTGTGTGATGCAGACAGAAAACAAGGTACCAGACATTAAGAAATTTTTTAGGAACTTTGAGGAATAACTCCAATAGAGATGAAAGACTATAACCTTCCTGAGAGCAAAACATGTGGTTCTCACTGGGTACTCTATTTCCTTCAGCATGCACTGAGAATGACCCATAGCACAAAAACAAACAGATTCAATAGAAGCAGTGAATAGATAAATGAATGAGAGTTAACTGTAGCAAAACACACACACACACACACACACACACACACACACACACACACACACACACACACACA